AAAAAAAAAAAAAAACCAACAACCCAACAAATACATCTTGGATCATTGTCAGAAATACTGCTGGAAAATAAAATCCTCGCCTCTCAAGCTTTTCAGGCGATGTTATGACGGCTCTGCACGCTTCTGCTGCATCCGTGTGTCCCAGCCCCTTCGAGGTTTGTTTGAGCAGCTCGGGGTGTTTTCAGAGTTTTGTTTTGTTTTTTTTTTTTTTTTTTTTTTTTTTTCTTTAGTATTTAGTGTGATGAGGGAGGCTGCTTTTAACTCTGCAAGGTGGGTGTCTTCAGAGCTGCCTCCTTTTTGATTTTCAGTTGTCAGGTTTACACGCAGTTTAAGCGTGCCATATGTCTCTGGTTCAGCTGGGGATTTTAGCTGCACGCTGAGCATTAAGTGTAAAGTAATCCCATTAAAATCCACAGCCGTTGCTGTGCAGTTTGAGCGGGTGTTGCAGGTCCTCCTGAACCACGACCTGCCTCGCCACGCTGGCGGCGTGACCCCAGGCTGGGTTTGCATGTTTTTAGAAGGATTTTATGGAAGTGGGGAGGATTTGTGCCGCCATTTAGGGCACAAGGATGGTGTCAGAGGGGCTACCTGGGCACGGACTGCGAAGCCAGTCCAGCAGTTAGCAAGGAGCATGAGTCTTGAGTTTGTATTTTCTGCCCAGGCGAGATCAAACATCATGATCAACTTGAAGAATAAGCTGCTTTTTTTTCACAATTACCTCATCAGGTTGTGTTGGTTTTTTTTTTGGTTTGCTGTTTTTTTTTTTGTTGTTTTGTTTTGGGTTTTTTGTTTTTTTTTTTTTTTTTGCTAAATTCATGCTATAAAATGCATTAAATGTAACAGCACAGAAAATAAAAGTTCAGTTTGTGGAGTGAGCCTGATTTAGTGTGAAGATAAAACAAGATAAAACAACTGGAAAAATTAAGTGGGATAAATAAATTCTGCCAGAGAGAGTTAGGGATGACAGAGCTAGGGAGAGCTACATGTGTGCCATCAGCTGGGCAGCGGTCAGTCCGGCTGTGAACATTTTTCCTAAGGGTTTCCTCATGGGAAGGGGGTGATGCTTTGCTGTACGCCCCATCCCACACACCGGAGGATACTCAGCTTTATCCCGGGACTGAGAGATGTGATTCTCCCTGCTGTGCTCTTTTGCACGGGGTGTGCGTGCTCCTCCTGCCCCTGCACGGCGCTCTCCGTGCACGCTCTTGCTTTCAGGTGAAGAAATGAGAATATCGGGCAGGAAACTGGAAAAGCAAGAAGCAGGGTGGCGGGGTGTGGGGGAAGAGGTGTTGGGATAGGTTGCCAAATATGCTGGGTAAAAATTAGCAGCTGCAAGTGTGCAAGAGAAAAGGTGGTGAAGAGACGGGGTAGGGACAGATGGAGAGAAGGAGGGAAAGAGGAGGTGGGAGAAAAGGGAGGAGGGGATAATAGTGCAGAACGATATTAGTTAAAAATCCTATAGCCCCGAGCCGAGACGCCATCTGTACGAAGCAGGAGACCAACAAGACGCAGCTCCCTCTCTTCACCGTGAAGGTGTTTTGTACATCTTGGCCACATAGTGTGGCCAAGATGTTGAGGATTAGAAATTTCCCATGCCCTGGGAGAGGGATACCCTAGGAGAGCCCCGTGCTTGGAAAGCGCGGAGCAGCTGGCTGCAAGCCGGGCACGGAGAGGAGCCCACGTCTCTGAAAAAACTGGTCTGGGGTTCCCAGAGGAAGATCTGGAGAACTTCCACCAGTGCTGGAGGGCGAATCCCTGGGAGCAAGGATGATTAGCTCTTTGATGAAGCAAGCCCCATCCTCCAAGGACTGTCCTCCCCTACAGCTCTGCTGGGTTTTTGCTTTCCCGGGTGTGGCATTAACCTCTTCAGTTGCGCACAAAACCGAATGACTTAGAGACACCGAAGTTCAACTTTGGGGAAAAAAATAAAGCTATTCCCTGTTATCTTTGCCTTAAGGTTTTCTCTGCCTGCTGAGGACTGTGCTTTCCCCTTTGAGAAGAACGTGGTGATTTGTTGTGCCTTCAGCGGGAGAGGCTGCTGTCCTGGGGTGAAGTCCATCTTGCTGGTGCGGTTGTGTCTGTGCTTCACAGCGTTCCCCTACCCAGGCAGGATGCTCGTGGGAAGAGGCCACAGGCTGTGAATATCTGTGTCTTGTTTAAAAGGAGTTAGAAATACTCTTTGGGGCTCTTTTGGAGGAGGCAGTGTCCCGAAGGCCGCTCGTGAGCAGGGAGGTGACACTTGCTGGCCATGGCCTGGTGTCGTTGGAGTCTCCCCATCTCAGGGGGAGCTGGACTTGCTCCCTAATGCACAGAGAGCATCTCAGCATGCCCTGAGCTGTGTGGAGAAGGGGAAAATAATCCAGGAACAGCAGTGAGGCCGAAGAATAAAGTCCAGAGTGGCCAGCCGTAGGTCCCGGTGGCTGCGGGCTGCTCCCCAGCGCGGTGCTGGAGTGATGCTACTGCTGAGCTGCTCCACGGCCCCCGAGCTCTGGTCCCTCACTAATTACTTCCAGGCCTGTACTCTTGACATTTGCAAGCTCCTGATTAGAGCAAGGAGGGAGAAATCTCCGAGGGAGATGGAGGCCAAACTGCACCAATAATAAAAGCTGAGATTGACAATCGGCTCGGAGGCGAGAGACGGGGAGGTGAAGGGACTTTGTCCTTGCAGTCTCGGTTTCTTTCTGAGCCTCTGGGATGATGAGAGAAGGTCAGGGCTTGTTAACGTCACCATGAGGAGCAGGATCTGCCACTGCCATATGCTTGATGCCCCCAGGGCCTGTGCCAGCCTCTGAGTCCCTCTCAGCTAGGCGATATTTTTAGACATGGGCCTGAACTGAAGCCACCCGCATGACTACCCCATCCAACCTCAGGCCTGCAAACTGTCTTAGGTACAAAAGTGGCTCTGCTTTCCTGTCTGCTGACTTTGTGTTTGCATCCTCGCCTCCTGGATTTCAAATTGTTTTTCCCTTGCCCTTTTCTCCCCCCATCCCAGCGGGTGGCAGCAGGCTCGCTCAGGAGGGAGCATTAACCAGAGCGATGGCACCAGGAGATATTTGCAATGAGGTGCTCCAGAAGATTGGGGCAGGAGAGGCAGCTCTGGCTGCCTGCGCCTGCTGTGGGATGCCCGAAGTGGCTTCCAAGATGAGTGTGGTTGAGACATACCTCCTGCAGTCTCCTGCAAGGCTGTTCCAGGCTGTTGGGTCCCTACTCAGGCAGGTTTTTATTACATAAATATGTATAAAGTTCCCTTTCCAGCCCCTCCCTTCCCCTCCCTGATGCCACATATATGCTTACCTGTGCCCCGCTGTCTGCAGCAGCCAGTTTAGCGATCTGTCTATCCATTTACGCCCTGCTTTTACATCTGTTCTTGTAGCCCTGGCTCTACAACCTCCTCAGAGGCTCTTGCTGAGGCAGACAGGCTTTTTTCCCTTTTAAATCCCCCCTTTCCTGAATTGCACTGGCAGGCTTTCTGCTATGCACACTCTATGTCTACAGCTTCCTATCCCAAGGGGTAAACATCATTTTACCCAGCAGAACTGCTGGTCCCTGCGGCATCTTGGAGCTCATCCTGCTGCTGAACGAGGCTCAGCAGCGCCTGGGCACGGCTGGCTGGCTGGTGGGGGGCTTCGGGGGGTTTGTGCTGGCTCCTTTCTGCTGCTGCTCCCTCCCTGCCGACAGACACGGTTCCCCTGTGCCAGGGCGAGAGCAGATCGGGAAGGAGATGGGGTGTCTTTCCTCTCCATCCTTCCCCCCCCCCCCCCAGAAGGATGCCTGGTGTTGAAGCAGCCAACCTGCATGTTCAGGGTTAAGCCAACTTTTCAGCAGCCGGAGAGCTTTCTGATGGAAAACTCAGCCCTTCTTTTCTCGGTGCTTCCCTTGACTTCTAGGCTGTCCTATTTATCCAAGCTGCAGTGAGCATCCCGCTGGTGCCTGCAGCCATAGCTGGTGTTGGGAGCCAGCACGCATCTCTGCAGTGCTAGCCCGTGGCTAGTGGTGCATTTAGGGTCGCCTCATCTCAACGCCGTATAGAAAGGACCTGCTGTGCTGATAGTTGGGTCTGAGATCACCAAAAAAAACCCAAACCCTTGCAAAGCCTCTTTATCAGTTTTAGCAATTGTGTTTGGGTCTCTGGTTGAGGTTGGGATCCCAAAATAACTAAACCTCTTTCACTGGTCATTATGCTCCTCCTGTAGCCCCTGGAAGGGGCAGGTTCCCCGTGATGTGTTTAGTAGAAGATGGAGATGCCCTTTGGAGGAAGGCACCCAACTGAAGTCCAGCCTGTCTTGGCTTGGGCGCAAGGAACCGTGCAGCTCCCCATGGGGAGATGGCAGTGTGAGGTTGGTTTCTTTCATAGGCACAGACACAGATGCTTCCGGATGGCCACCGAGGTCTTGGTGCCCTCGGTTGCTCTTTGAGGAGGTAAATGGTGGTTTCTGGGTGTCTCCAAAGGAGGAAATTTGTTGCTGGTGTCAGGTGTGGCCGGTGGGGTGGAAAGCCCTCGGGCTTCCTACTGCAATGTCCTCTGTGTCAGGGCATGGGGATGGCGAGGACAGGGCAGGGTGACCCTCTGGAGCTCCCTTCCAGATTACACAAACCTGTGGGGCAAACGCGTGGGGGCAGGACGTGGGTTCCCACTGCCCTGCCCGCAGGCAGGCTCCCAGCCCCTCTTTGCTCCCTGCTTCTCCGGGCAGGGGGGTGAAAGCTGTCCCAGCCCTGCAGGCAGCGGGGCGGGAGGCGCGTCAACAGGTAGATGCGGAGAAAGATGCAGCGAGGAGGTTGGGGCTGGCAAGGGAGTCAGGCGCATCTTCAGGGGCTGTAGGGTGAGGGGGGGAAAAAAAAAAAAAAAAAAAAAAAAAAAGCCCCCTCTGCAGCTTGGGTTGAATTTGAGCCTGCTTTGGCTGGTGGGATCCTCTGTCCCTCTGCTCGGCGGGAGCGTGGCGCGGCAGGGGTTAAAGGCTGGCGTGCGAGGTGCGCGCCGCCCCCCCCCCCCCCCCCCAGCTCCCCGCCTGTGCCTGGGTGCGGGTGCTGGGTGCTGTGCGGGGGGTGCGGGAGCCAAAGGGCCGGTCAGTGATGGAGCCGCTGCCATGACAACCCCGGGAAGTCAGCATCCGCGCCGCCCAGGGATGCTGCCGGCCAGCCGCGCCGGCGGGGCTGGGATGCTGCCGCCGCCTCTTCTTCTTCCTCCTCCTCCTCCTCTTCCTCGCCCGCTCCCCCGCGCCCCGTTTTTCGGCTGAGAGGGGAGCTGGGAGAGCAGCCTCCAACCCCCAGCTGGGGGGGCGGCGGGGCGGGGGGGGGACACCCCCCTCTCCGGAGAGAGAGACACGCTTTGCCGAGCCGAGGAGCATCGCTGGCTCTGCCTCGCGTCCGGGCGGTGGGGACGTCGCCTGCAGCTCCGCGGGGAAGTTTCGATCTTGCGACCGAATCGGCGTTTTGGGGGAGCTTTTTTTGGGTTTTGGTTCCTTTTTTTTTTTTTTTTTTTTTTAAGGGGGGGGGGAATCTTCATCTTCCTTTTCCCTCTATTATTTAAACAAAAGAGCAACAGCCGGCAAACAACCCAACTCCAAGCCCGTTTTGCTCCCCCCAGCCTCTTTTTATGGCTGCCCTCCCTTTCCTGCCAGAGACACTTACGTTTCCTCCTTGGGTTATAAACTTTTGATGCCAGATCTCCGCAGCGCGTGCCCGACTGAATCTTAAAGTAGCGTCTCGAGCAGACACACATCTGTGACCTTCATCTCTTGCTCTGCACCTTCTCTCCTCCTCTTCCTCCTCCCCCACCCCCGGCCCTCCCGTCCTCCTCCCTCACCCAAGGATACTGGGGACTCCCTCCGGATGCCGCTCGGCAGGCTCAGTGCTCGCAGGCTGCCGTGCCGGGGGCTCTCCTGATCTCCGTGGAGCTCCGCATCGCTCGCCCCGGTCGTTTTGCTCCCCCCCATCCCCACATACACGCACCCCATCCCTCCTCTTCCCCCCACCCCCCCCCCCACCCCCTTACCCCCCACCCCCTTTTCGCTCCTGGTGGCCTTGTCTGGGGTGTTTTTTGCCTGTTGGAAAAGTCCCTGCTGCCCAGGATGGGGGTCGGTGGGTGCTTAGCCCTGCCCTGGAGGTGCCTAGTCGTCCTCTGTCTCAGGCTGCTCTTCCTTGTGCCCGCAGGAGTGCCCGTGCGCAGCGGAGATGCCACCTTCCCCAAAGCTATGGACAACGTGACTGTGCGGCAAGGGGAGAGTGCCACGCTCAGGTAGGAGCCGCTGGATTTCTACCTTTTGGGGTGGAGGGGGGGGGGAACTGGGGGGGATCCTGGCCATTGGTCTCGGGGGATGCTGTGCGTCGAGCAGGGCTGCCGGAGGGTCCTGGGGCCGGCTGGAGACTTCGCATGTGTCCCAGGGGCAAGTCCCCACCTTGGCAAGGGGACACCCCGGCGGAGAGGTTTTTTTTTGGGGGGGAGGACACACACACACACACTGGTGTGACGGGGAGCGGGCTGCGGCGCTGGCAGCGTCCCCACCAGGGCTGGCGGGGGGTTGCGGGTGCCAGACGAGGAGCTGACAAAGGGGTTTGAGGTGGCAGACAGTGAGTTAGTGCCGCCTGACGCTCCCAAAGTTGTCTCCGTGCGTGTGCCTGTGTGGGAAGGGAGGGGAGGGGGGGTCCGCGCTGCCTGCACTGGTGCCAGCCTGCATTGCCAGCGGGTTTCCAGGGCTGAGATGACTCTGAGTTGTCAGTGTTTCGCCTTGATCGCTTTATAGTCTCTGCACGAATCTGTTAATATCAAATCAATCTTTTACTCCCGGGGTGCATCTTATGAATTCTGATGGATGCTTTACCTTAACGCTGTTTGCTGTAGGAGAAACGCGGGCAGCTTATATGCAGATGGGCCGCTTCTCTGCTGCACAATACAGCAGAGCATCCCTTTTCATCCCTTGAATGAGTTACAGGTGTACCTGGTGCATCACCCGCGTAGAGTAGCAGCTCTCAGCAGCCCGAGCGCGGCAGCGTGGCCAGATGAGCAGATAGCAGCCCAGCTTTTTTCGGAGGGCGGTGGGGAGCCAGCTCGCAGCCGGAGCTTTGGGTTGTGCTGTGCAGGCTTCGGGCAGCCCGGGGAGGACCCGAGCTGGTTAATCCGGGTGGGCAAGCAACCCTGGATTTGGGGCGAGAAGAGGAGGGGGTTACGAGTCTGGAGCAAGCGAGGCCAGACCGGAGGAGTTAGTGTGTTGCTTCCTCTGCGCTGGCGAGCAGTGTGTGCCCCCCCCCCCCCCCCCCCCCCCCCAAGAAGCATGAGGCTGGCTGCTCCCTGGCTCAGAGCTGGAGTAACTGCAGCAGAGAGCTGCTGCTCTTCCCAGCACCAGGCACGGGGGTGGCACAAGCGAGCCGAGTGTGCCGTGCTCTCCGTCAGCCGGCCCAGGGATGAGGATGCTCCGTTCGCCGCGGAGGCGCGGGGAGTGCGTGTGTGTGGAGAGGGTGTCAGGCAGGCTGGGGTGGTCTGTGTAAGAGGGAAATGTTGGATGCACAAAGCGTTGGTGGGAAACAAGCTCTGGCTCGAGGTCTGTGCTGCTGAGAGAGGCGTTGGTCGCTCGTCTGCGCGGCGCCTGCCGGACTTTGGGATGGTGCCTGTGCCGGGCGCATCCCTGTTCCTCGCTCCTGGCCCAGGGACCCGCTGGGACACCCTTGTCATCACCCCATTTAACTGGGGGCTGTGGCACAGCAGAGGAGCAGAGAGCACATTGTGCTCTTCATAATTGAACCGCGACGATGATTAACCTGAGCTGGAGCGAGCGAGGCAGTTTAAAGACAACAATCCTCCCAAGAGACACTTTTGGCCTTGGAGCTCTTTTCCTTGCTGTCTGAATTTATCTCCCCGGTGAAACGTGGGGTTTGGGGCTCTCCCAAGGCGATGCTCGTGGAGGTCAGAGCAGGCTGGGTGCGGACTGTGGATGAGCTTTGGGGGGGCTGAGCCCCTTCCCTGGGGAGCCCCTGCAGCTCCGGCGCTGGCCGAGCCTGCTGCCAGCAGAGGGCTGACTTGGATTTCCTTTATTTTTTTAAGCTTCTGGCCTCTTTTCTGTACGGTTTAAGAGAGGGGATGTTTGTGAAGCAGCCAGCCCTGGAGCACTGGGATATTTTAGCCTTCCTTTAAGAAACTCTACATCCCGCAGCAGGACTCGGTGTGCTGGCACTTAGAGGAAGCCCCTGCCCCAAAAGCACTTGTTCTCTACCCATTCCCTACCTTGGCATCTGCTCCTGCCCCAGCTTTCCGGTGCACCTTTTCCATGCTCTCACCCCTCCCCTTTTTTCTTCTCAAGTTTAGCTTTTCCCTGCTGCAGTCAGATTTCTGGTCTCCAGCTCCCATTTGCCCCCAGTCTGCCCCCTCGCTTCTTGCAATTGCTGTTTTCCAACAGCCCCGCCGCTTCTCTCCCACCCCTATTTCCCTGCAGCTGCCCCTCTGCAGCCTCTGAGTAGCGAGCAGCTTTCTGTCTTCCCTTGGGGTCCAGAGGGTGGGCAAGGCATTGCACTCAGCAACCCAAAGAGGGGGTAGCATCAACTGGGGGGTGCTGCACGCAGCAGCCCAAAGACAGAGTGTCTCGGGGATGTGGCTGGTATTTATTTGCAGGCTGCAATACCCCACGGAGAGCCAGGAAGGGGATGCTGCCCTGGGGAGGCATTTCATGTGGGTGATGCTTGTGGTAGATGTCCAGCGTGGAGCCCTCGATGGGGTTTTCTCCCAGCAAATAATCTGTGCACCCATAGTAGGAGCAGATGTGGTGTCCTCTGCTGTCCTCCCTGCAAAATGACACTGTTCCTGGGGTTCAAACGGAGGAGTTGGGCCTTGAAAAACCGAGATTCATCATTCCAGCTTGTTGCAGTTGCAGAATTAGCTGCAGTCTTGCTGGGTCTTGGAGGGGCCAGGTCCTCTCCCATCCAGCTTCGTACGGGGCTGCTGTCTGGTCACGGGATGGGCTGAGCCTGCGAATCTCCCTGGTTTCAGCAGGGCTGGTGGAAGCTCTTTGCTTTCCAAGGTCAGCTCTTTAACCACACATTGCGTTGCAGGAGGGAGGAGACGAGAGGGAGCAGAACCGCATGCTAGCGGTGGAGGAAACCTGGAGGCTTTGCAGGCTGGTTGTGGTTTTCCTGTATTGGATTTTGGGCGCTTCCATTTCCAGCTCTCCACCCTTTTTCGGAGGGAGGATCAGCATAATCCTTGCAGAAACTAAGGCTCCATCTACAGGCAACTTCTAGGTCATCTTAGATCAGCAGCAAATGATTCCCTTGTTTTAAGCAGAGACTGCTGATTATTCACTGTTTTTATTGTAAGAACAAACAATTCCCGTAACAGTCATGCACCTTTCCTCTCCGGGGAACTCAAGGCAGTTTGCAAATTCTCTGCGTGCTATTAAAATCAAGCTGCCTCTTGCCTGACTCTGAAATGCAAAACCTTCTGCCGTGAGGCGGGGCAGGTGTTTAGACGGCAGCAGTAACCCGTGTTACGCACCGGTTTGGGACACGAAACGGAACAAGGAGCACACTGGTAATGGACAAGGAGGTTTGGAGGAGGTGACTTTTTAATTTCCCAGCTGGGATGTGATGTGGAAACAAGGATTAAAGTCTCTGCTTTCGGGAAGAGTGCCACCGAGTCTCAGCTTTCTACGCGTGACGCTTCTTGGCCGCGTGCCCTGCGAGCCGCGGGCCACGGGCATCCATCCCTTAGGTCGCTCCGGGGGCATCACTGGCAGGTCCCCGGCACGGTTAGCAATCCCAACGGGCTCACCCTGGCTGGAAACCTCAGGTTGTGTTTGATCCACAACCTCATCGCGGCGGTGGAAGCCTCTCCGGCGCGCGAAGGCGATGCGGGTGACCGCCGGTAACGCCGCCGCTGTGGCAGATATGCAGGAGGTGGTAAAACGGGGACGCCTAGTAAATGGGATCGTATTGCTCGTGCTGCCAGCGAACCGACCTTTTATAACAGGCATCAGTACAGTTCATAAAAACATAAAACAACAGCTGCTCAAAATTTCAAGGCTTTGTCGTTCTGTCTGTATTTAAGAAATATTGGCGCTTTTTTTTTTTTTTTTTTTTTTTTTTCTGGGCAAAGAGTGTGTGGTTCGGTGGTTGGAGGGGGTAGCTGGGAGATCGGACACGCCGGGTTTCCTCCTGGGCTTGTCACCACAGGGACATCAGGACTTGAGGAAGCCCCTCTGTTGCTCTCTGCCTCAGTTGGCCCATCTGTAAAATGGAGCCAACAGCAGTTGTTTGTCAGCGATGATTAGATGAAGTAAGTGTTCATAGGTGGTGCTAAGATTGTACAAGAAATGCTTTTTCCTTATTTCAAGGAAGATTTTCAAATCAGATCCCCCGCCACCTTTCTCTTTGCTTCTGGCGAGGCTGTGTCCTCCCCCGTCTTGTCCATGAAGGAGACCAAAAAACCAGGGTAGCTTTGCTCATTCGCATCCAAGGCTCTGCAACTGGCTGTATTTTGTCAATTAGCGAGTACGAGAACAATTCCAATTAAAAATAAAAAGCCAGAATAAAACATCATGAGATGCTGTTCTTCCATTTATTTTTGCAATTATAGTTTTAATTATTTCTGACAATGCTGCTTTTTTTTTTTTTTTTTTTTTTTTGTGCAATCTACCACAGTCTGTTTTGCAGAACACGGTGAGACCTCAGTAAAATGCAGGGGCAGCAGGACCCACGGTCGCTGGGCATGGGTGTGGGAAGTTGGGAAATTAAGATTTTTGTGCTTCTTACTGAGTCAGACTGCCCAGCCCTCAGTTTACCTACCTATTAATGGGGGTTGTGACACTCACCTGCCACCGTGCAACTGTGGTACCCGGCCGAGAAAAGAAGCGTTAATGCAGCCACGTCTCTGCTGTTAAATCCTTGCTTAGAAGTGGGAAGAGAGTTGTCGTTTTTTTGTGTGCAAATGCTAAAAGCAGGGGGATTAGTGAAGAACAGATTAGCGAGGACTTGCTCCATCGCTGCCCCTTCCCTCCCCCTCCTTACCCAAAAAGTTTTTTGGAGCAGCTAAATATATACCTGCCGTTTCCAAGGTAGAGCTCGCTGCATGGCGGAGCTGTAATTGGCGACTCAGTGAAATTACAGCCACGGATTCTGGCATTTGGATCCTCCTGGCTGGCATAATAATTTCTCCCTAGGTAGCTGGTATTTAACTTGTCTTATCTGCTCCTGATAGTTATAATTACAGTGCCCGCTAATTTCACTCCAGTATCGCAGCCGTCGGAAGGGTGC